AATAGTTTAAAAGTATCATTTTTGTTATTTGCATTCTAGTTTTAGTTAACTTCAAAACCAACCAAACATTCGATTGCACTTAGATTAAGTTAGTACTTGCATTCTCGGTGCTTTTAAATCCCTCAGAACTGGTTCGACAACTTACTTCACTATACAACATTTGACTAGGAGCCTTGAAAACTCCTAACATCAATTGCCATTGTTGGAATATGAAAACAAGACATTACATGAATTGGCAGAGTCATAAATACAGATTTATAATCATTTGTATTTTTTATCCTCTCAAACTCTCAAGCATTCCCAAATATAAGTAAAATTCACTTTAATTATTTCTATAATAAATATGTGATTTTCTCAATTTATAAAATAATGCTATTTTTATACATTGAAGCAAAACCTAATTTTATTTTTGAGTTTAACAACTTTTTAAAAAAAACTAAAGAAACTAAGGAGTGGAAAATATTATAATGATGATCTTTAGGTTTGGCATGACAAGGATCAAAACATAAATTGATAAGTTAAAATTATTTTCGCATAGTCTAATATATAAGTTATATTCATGTTGTCAGTGAGTTCAAGTAGATAAAAATGCTATAAAGACTTTAACTTTGTTAATAATTAAAAAAGAGATAAAGATTAGCCATTATATAAATATACCTGTTTAATATATCTTCTTAAATAAGTTTCTTAATTTCTTTATTTTTAAAATGATACCAAACTCTTATTTGTTTAGTCAAAAATCTTATAAAGATGTTCCAAATTCTAACTAGATAAAACATTTTGTTTAGAGTATAATGTGTAACCTTAGATAGTAAAAATATGAAAACATTAATATATCATAGACCAATATATCATATTGCCTGAAGCCACAAATTTCTGAAGTATGAAATACCTAATTCTCCAATGATCTCTCGTCTCAGCTTAATCAATTAGTCATCACATGCACCATAAATAAGTTAGCATATAAACCCGGTGATGATATTCATACTCATCCACATACTAACACCATATACACAATTCAATCAAACAACATAACCATAACAAGCAACAAATTAATGTGTTTTAAATTTTCATTAGTCATTTTCATTTCACTTAGCCCTTTCCCTATTATATTGTCATTTTACAAATTTTGACTCTGAAATCAATTTACAAACCAAAGATCATTTACGGCCTAAGACCAAATCATCCTGAACTTCCATATATCCGAAACTATGTCTAAACACCAAGCGATTTTACAAATTTATCATTTATATGAACTCAGCATATACGAAATGAAAGTAATAATTTGATGGTTAGTTATTTGAAATAATTTAACTGAAAGATGAATGGTTTATTACAAGAAAAATGATGATAAAATCTAAATAGAGTTATGAACTCGAAAAGAACAGTAAATCTATGAAAACCCTATTTTGTGTGTCAATTTTTTTCTCTGATTGTGAAAGTTCCATTTCTAGACTGAGTCTCATTTATTTATACCTGTCATTTTTCCTTTTCTCTTGAAGTCGGCTTACATCCGTTTGACCCCTTCACTTTGGTTGGACTGAGTTTGGTTTACTTGATGAGTTTTGTTGAGGATGTAATCCGTCTCCAACAATAAGTCCCCCGAGTTTATTTTGATAGACAAAGTTGGTCTCGATGAATTACCAGGAATGGGTCCCATTAGTAAATAACTCAGCTTATGTCTTTCAATCCCATCCAATTATCATCTCGGCACTTTCAAGATTCCTTGTTGGTTTATAAGTTATATATCAAGAACCTTGGTTATCGATAAGTTAGCGCATCAATCATCAAAGCGGACACTAATGATGACATTATTTTTAGTGGAGGGTTTTCTCTTAGGAAGTGGAAGCATCGTTTCCTTGAAATGCGGAACATAATGCTACTAGGATTTGTAGACTAGTGATGGCAGTATTTCTTCTTTAATCTAAGGTAATGTTTTCTCAAACATTTTCTCTCTATATTCACTGCTCTTAATTTATTTATTTTTGGTTTTCCGCAGTTTATCATCAATTTTTTTCGTTTTACTTTGTGTTCTTCATCTATTCTTCAAGAAAAAAAAGACTCTGATTCGTAAGATTTTGAGGAAAAGAAAATTAATTCTTAATGCACTGAGGCCAGAGTCAGATGTATCTGGACCTTCGCGTCCCTTCAATGATCCAACAGGAAGGCATCAGGGAGCCTTATCTGACACAGTTTATTTTGATTTCACCAAGATTCAAGTTTTTTGGTTTGCTGAGGAGTCTTTCCAAGTAGATGGAGAAGGTAAGGACACTGTTGATGATGAGGAGGATGACAACAAGAATACCAACAAGGAAGTTAGTCATCGACTAGCCAAAATTGATCCCTTTATCTTTGGTCCTTGTCTTGATCAGGTTCAGTCGAGGTGGTTATTTCAGCTATGAAGAAGAGATCCCTTATGTGGAAGTGAGACAATCGGTTGTTAAAGGTCAGAACTAGAAGAATCATTTTCCAACTCGGTCGACAGTGAAGAGTGTCAAAGAACTTACGTCTCATATGAATGTTGGTGCTGAATAAATTTTTAAATTTCTAAACCTGATCAAAGGTTGTGGACACCTCCAGTTGGAATCATGGTTCAAGAAGGATGGAAAATTTTAGTTTCCCATCCCTCATCTCATCATCCCCTACTGGAGCAGATATTATCAGGTCAATCGGGAACCGGGTTGCTCTGATGGTTGATGGCTGCCAAAATCAATGTTTGTATGTCAATCAGAGTTTTGAGAAGATGACCATTGTTAGTATCAAGCATGATACTGGTCATGCCTATGCTAAGATGCGCCTTCTCATAATATTTTGACCAGTCGTTCTCCTACAAGAAAAAAAGTTTTCTCCACAAAAGTTTTATGGCTAGAATATAATAGCTACATAATATACACAATCAAAATTTTGTTGCTATTATGCAATTTTTGTGGCTAATTAGCTACAAAATTCATTTTGTGGATATTGAAAGATATCAAAACCACAACTAGCTACAGAATAAATTGTAGACATAAATATCTACAACTATCTACAATATATTTTGTTGAATATGTCACCACAACTGAAACTGTGGCTATACATAGAAATGAAATTTCAAAACTAAACCTTAATCATACACTAAGCCCTGAATTTTGTATATCATTCAGAAATTCTAAAGATAAACAACAAATTTTAATCCAAAGAGTAATGGAAAAGATGGGTTCTCTGAGATCTAAATTAGATGGATCATGCGGCGCGTAACTACAACTAAATATCAGGTCCTTATGAATGACCAACCAAGAGGGAACATTATAACAAATAGAGGATTTCGTCAAGGAGATCATTTGTCTCCTTTCATTTTCATCTTATGCGGGAAGCGCTCGTTAGCCTTCTAGATCACGCAGAGAGTCAATTGGTTTCAGATTGATTCACGAAATCAATCTAGCTCTCTTAGCAAAACAATTGTGGCGGCTGATACAGTTTCTAGATTCCCTTGTTGCAAGGGTTCTAAGAGGGAGGTACCATCGTACATGTTCGATATTGAAATCAATAGGTTCTATGTCACCGTCGTATGTATGGACAAGTTTGATGGAAGCAAAGCCTTCATTGATGTTGGAAATCCGGCAGAATGTGCATTATGGATACTAAATTAATGTATGGGAGGATCTAAATTAATGAGCTTAGCCATTAGTCAAACACACAAAGAAGATAAGTATATCTAGAACTATACGAACAATGGCTTGTATACTGTAAAATCTGGATATTGGGTGGCAAGAAACATCCTATATCAACTGTCAAAGGTTTTGATCTAGCATCAAAAGGCTACAAACTCATGCATGGAAGATTAAGGCTCCTCAGAAAATGTGACATCTAATTTGGCAAATGGCATTGAGATATTTAACAGATTAAAGGAATTTAACATAGCGTCATATGCGATGTGATAATCACTGCACAAGATGTGGGATTGATGATGACTCTGTCAATCATGCAATTTTTGAATGCCCGTCAGCTTTTCAAACTTGGGCCCATGCCTCAACACCATATTCACCTGATACATTTCCAATTTTGAGTGTTCACACTAACCTGGATTACTTATTCTGGAGAAACAATTCAATTGAGGATCCAGACGTAGATAGAGATCCATATCCTTTGATCATCTAGTATCACTGGAAGGATAGAAATGATAAGTTGTTCTGGAGAATTACAAGAGATCCACTTGAGCTAGTCATATATGCTGACAGTGAATGCAATGCCTGGTTTGAGGCAAATACACCAACTATGGAGACAATAACCCAACAATCCCAGGATACACAAGCAATAAGCTTATAAAATATTTTCCTGGTGGATGGATCATGGATTGTGGAAGCACCATTTAGTGGATATGGTTGGGTATATCATGATGAATTTGGAAAGGATCAACTCATGGGGTTGAAAAACATAGAGAGACGGTCGGCTCAGATACACTCTGAGTTGGGAGCTCTCACTTGGGCGATGGAGAACATGCTACGGTATAATGGTTGCCATCACTTTGGAACAGATTGCAGGAACATGGTAGAGATGATCAAGAATCCTAGAGCTTGGCCAGGCTACTCAATGCAGCTATTAGAGATCACAAGATTACAAGACCGATTTCAGGACTTCAAGATCACACACATCCCAAGGAATCACAAGAAGACAGTAGACTCGTTAGCCAGGACTGCTCGAGCTTTTTATAGGAATCTTGTTTTTGTTGGTTGTTTTGTCTCAGTCTAGATTCTCAGGCCACCTCTAGTTTGAGTGATTGAACAACCGTTTGATGTCAAAATAAAAATAAAAATAAAAATAAACAAAAAATAATATGGTAAAAAGAAATTCCAACAGCTTTCACAAAATTTTTAAAATAAATCTAATAATTTTTTTTCCAAACTATAACCCTAAACATAGTCAAAAATTATGATTACTATCCATGAAGTATAAATATTTAATTATAAACTCTTAAATATAAATAATATCACTACAAGAAAACATATTTTTTTACGAGGGCTATATTCCTTGTTAATTCGTCTTACTAGGGGAGTAACAAGAAATTAACAAGGAAACGCAATTCGTTGTAAAACGCCCCTCGTAATGGACGTTTTATCGTAAAGTACTTGTAACCTTTATGAGGAAATGCGGTCGTTGTAAGGAAGGCTTTCGTCGTAATGTACTCGTTACATTTCGTCACATTAAGTCCTTGTTACTCTTCCTCGTAAATTCCTTGTTATACTTGTAATATCCTTGCAACATTTATGAGGATTTTACAAGTCGTGCGTTGTAAAGTAAGTCCATGTAAACTTTACGAGGATTTTAGTAGTGTTTCGTTTTAAACTCCTTGTAAACTTGACTAGGAATTTACATCGTTTTATATATTTATAATAAAATTATGAACATTCGAAATTTTAAAATATTTAAATTATAAAATAATATTAAAAATATTAAAAGATTTGAAAATAAATATAAATATGGTAAAATAATATTTTAAATTAATAATAAAAAAAATGTGAAAAAACTACGAAATCACGTTGTCAAAGTAGCTGGGGTTGCCGCTCGGTTCCTGAGATGTTCAATCCGTGGGTTGGGAACGAGGTTGCTGCATCTCAAGTACTGCTCGTCTATTGTCCAACATTCTCTGCAAAATTGGGTTTCCCACCGCCATAACGTCCAGTAGACCTTTAAGTGAGTCTAATCGAACCTGCTGTGAATCCATTTGAGACCGCAGCTCAGAAGTTTCTTGCAACTGTTTTCTCTTCTTTCTCGAAGTCATCTTATTCAAAAAAACAATACATATTAATATAATTAATTATATAAAAATAATACAAATAAATTAAAGTCTACTTAAAAAATTTACCTCTTCAAAGATCCGGTCAACCTCTTCTGTAGTCAATTTGATGGGTAATCCATCGGGAGACTGTTGGGTTAGTTGTGTCTCCTGCTCTTCATTCCGAGAAGCCACTTGATGAGGGAGTTTCTATGACCGTAGATCAACCCCATTTGGTGTGGCGTGAGTCATCTTGAATAGTTCACTCTGAGATGGTAAGAGTCTGGTCCTCTCGGCCTACAAACAAAAAGAATAATTAGAGATAATTTTTTAAAAAATAATTAATAAAATAAATAAAACTTACAAAATCTAGACGGATCCCGGCGTGGGATGTTTGCCCGGTTTTATGAAGCATGGTAAAATTACTGTCTTTATCCCTTGTTCTCCGGCAAGTGTAGCACGAGTTGGATTTGCGGATCTAGGATGATAGCTTCCAAAAGGCGATGAGGCCATCCGATACATCCTTCGAGAGCTCGGTGGGCTTCCCATCATACCCGTAAATTTTCCACTTGTCCTTCCAATCCAAGACGGTGTTGCAAAGGCGGATCTTTGCTTTGGAAAAATATTCCGCCTTCACCCTCTCGTTGATCGCTAAAGACTAGTACACCTGATGCGTCCCGGTCCGAACACCGACCTGCTTGGATCATAGAACCTGCCCAAGGAGACGGTATTGTCAACCAACTCGATCCAACCGAGATTTTCCCATCAGATGACGCAACCATGGACGAGATGGATGAGCTGGAGCTAAGTGACACTAATTTGGGAGCTGAATAAGCTAAGTGACACTGAAGATTAAGCTGGTTTAGTTGTTGGGCGAAATGGGCCTTTTTCACCCCACAGAAAAATTCATAACAAATTCAATTTGGATCCGATTTACACCAAATTCGACCAGGCCTTTTCTTACAGTTTTCTGCCCATTTGTATCAATAAATATCAAGAAAAGAAGTCAAAGTCGTGGTCAGCCAAAAGGACATTCAACAACACACTTATTTATAGTCAAAAGTCTTAGTCTTTGTTTGTGTTTCCTAAATTTCTAGTTTTCCACAAATTCTTTAAGTCTTTCTTTGACTACAAGTTGTATAAATATGTAATCACATCCCATGAATAAAATCAGTCTAAGTATGAGTTTAATTCCGTTTCTTCTCTGAGTGAGAGAGAGAGAGAGTACTTTAGCTAGTTCATTGGTGTGAACCGGCTTGTTGATTTGGTGGTCAGCCAATTCATATGGTATGTTGTTTGGTGGTTAGCCAACACATTCATTCCTTTTTAGGTTGTTAGCCTTAGATCGTGGGTATACCAAGAGTCATTCCACATCTCATGACGATCCTTTCAATCTATTTCAGTTCCAGAAGTGCCATTGGCCTTCTTGGTTCATATCCAACATCCAGCTAAAGTGATCCTACAATTTAGGGCGTATCCAGTGGCATCAGAGTCACTTTTGCTGGTTTGTTTTCATTTCATCTTTTAATCTTCTCATCTTTACACAATTTTCTTTTATTATTTCTTGTTGGATCCGGGATGTTCCTTTACTCTCTTGTGATCGCCTATTTGAAAAAAATAGGATAAAAGAAAAAGAGTAAATTTTTTTGCTTGAATCACTTCCGAAGAGAAATCCAGGGGGAGTGGTGGAAGAAAAACCTTGCTGGCTGAAGAGAAACTCAGCCTTAGGACAGTTAAGGTGGATCCATACAAAAATCTCTTCATCTTTCTTTCTCTCTTTTAACCATAAAAGGTTTTTGTGGTTTTTGATTGCTGATTTTGACTGCTTATCATCCTTTGAACCAGTGAAAATAACTCTGAGTGATCACCTAAAAATCGTGAGCTAAACACTTTGAGAGTGTGAGGATTTTTATTTGCTAACTCTTTGTTAAGTGTTTTCAGGATGTTTGGACATCACAAGAAATCAAATAAGGATTCAAAACTACAACAAGATGTTTATTATCCTTTTAAAACCATGCTTGAAAAAAAGCAATTGATATTTGGAGATGCGGAACAGTTTGCTT